TCATGGGATTGGTGCTCACACTTTAACAAGGCACTTACTACAGTAGTGGAGTGTCCCATAGGTGCAGAGATGATGGGGTGATGACCACAAGCAGTCTCCAAAGATTGGGGCTATGCCAATTAAGGTGAGCGCCGTTCCTGGAGAAAAGTACAAGTCACATCCAGCTGTGCGTTTTAGGAACAGGTGGGGGGAACACAAAAAGGACAATTGCTGGAGAAAGAAAACCCACATTAATAGAGCGGTTTTAAAGCAAACTCCAATAAGGGAAATGAGTCCTTCATCATTAATTGGCAATTAGCAACGATCTCTTTTTGTCTCCATTTCATGTGTGATCATATTCCTCCCCTTTGTCCCTGTCTGCTGAGCCCGTCTGTTCCACACTGGTAGCTCACCCTGCCTTTAACCCGTGCCATGCTGGAATCCTCGCACACAAGTAGCTCAGCATCCCTCATGATTCTAATCAGAGACATCCAGGCAAACACTAGTCATTAGTTTGGCAGCAAAATTCTGTCTTCCGAAAAAAAAAAAAAAAACACCTGCTAGAAGAGATCACCTTTACATCAGCATTATTTCAGAGTTTAGTGCTGGCCCATCAAATATAACAATACAAACAAAACTGATTGTTTCCAATTGTCCTTCGCCCATATTCTAACAGAAGATGTACTTCCTCTATGTATATACAGCTGACGTTGGTGTGCATTCAAATGTAGGCTTCATCTTTACAGTACAAAGTAATATTTTTACAATTTACATCTCCAAGCATGAGTGGACGATATCGTACAGTACATCCCCGATTATTCGTTGCTCTCTAGGGCTGTGGGATGCTTTACAATTAAAGACACTGAGGCTAATTTACTTGATTTACTATAGAAGTTGAGAATCTTCTGACAACACGCGCATATTTCATCATCCAGTCATGTAAAAACAATATCCCGTTTACCTATTTCACCTGTTTGGACAATTCAAGCGAAGATTAACACAATTATTGTGTCAAGATTCTCAACTCCTTTAGTTAATCTGCCTAATAACCATAGCATTCCGATTCTAATCAACAACAGGTATCGCCCTTTAAAGTATGAGAGCTAGAAATCTGCCGCTAATTAAAATCTATTTCTAAATTGCAGGTTTTATTGCTGTCCGCACAGTGAGAGTATTATAGTGATGGCTGTGAGGAAGCAAAACTAAGGTCTAACCAGACCAATGAACCCCTGATTCTGTCATGTCTTTTTGGAAATGATAATAATAGTAATTCTAGTAGTAGTAATAATAATAATCATTAAAAACGATTACTGGTATAGCCATCTTTTAATAAAAATAGACATCATTCAGCACTTTTAAATACATTGTTATAGAGAAATAAAAGCATGTCGCTTTGCACAGAGTTGCAGCAAAACATATCGTAGTAGGATTTAATCTTATGGTCAGTGTTTGGATTGTATGTAATCAAATCCATAACTGGGAAGGTAGTGACAAGGCAATGATGCTGAGTGGGGGCATCAACTGGTCCCTGCCCATAGCTATCTGCTGGGTAATAGTATACTACTCCATGACTATGACATCCAGCTCCGTATTTTGATATGCATAAGGCCTCTATTCACAAGTACATGTTGCTGGAACACACTACTCTCTGTGTGGCAAGGTGTCCAAAAGGACTAATAGTTCATAGTATTGCTGTCAATTAGAATACAGTATTATTAGCTCTCCCAATTCAGCGTATAGAAGTTATAAGGAGCCGCTGGCACCAAACAGGGGACAAGCTAATAGAATAACAGACAGCCTTTGATAAATCTCTACTAATTACCCTTCTTAATTGATGTCACTTGTTTCAGTGTTTTGGCAAGAAAAATAAGCGACGCTGAACGTGGAAAGCAGTGCTGAGGGTGTAGCAGATTGCTGATTAACACTTCCTACAATTCAAAGACCTGGCATCAATTGTATATTTATTTTCACCTATATCTCAGGTTCCCAATAAAGATGGATGAATGATGTGTTGTAGGAATCAGTCTAGCACTTGTACTTCCTCGGAAAATCCAGTCCAGAAACATAAACGTCCCAATGTATTAATAACCACAATGAAACCGTTTATTTTCACGTGCAAGAATAAAACTTATACATATGTTTAAACGCTCTATTAATATAGAAGTTACTCTGCACCCCAGGCAACAGTAAAAAATGAAAAAAAAAATAAAATAGGATGGCATCGGACAAACACAACAGATATAAACTTTTATGTATATATATTTACAATAAATAGAGTTATTCAATTGGCGCAGCATTCCTTTAAAGGATAATACATATCCAAATAAATACGTCAAATATACAGAATTCATCTTTTCAACTCTGCAAAGCTGTGATGACAGTAATATAGAACCTTTACAAAACACACCAAATAATAAAAATAAGTTCAATAACAAACCGCTGAAGGAATAATAAGAGCATAATACTCAAATCATATTAGGTGCATGCAAAAAGTTGGAAGGAACCAACCATCCCCAGGACAGCAACCAGGACAGTGTAAACGTTTTATTCCAAAGCACACTAGGACCAGGGAAGGACTGGCAAAGGGGGCAAGATAGTCATCTTCAAGGTGGCCTATACTTACTCAATGTGGTAACTGTATTAGCCCCTAAAGGTTTTGTTCAGACACTGTAAACAACCATTTCACAGATTTCAATACAATTTTAGGAAAGAAAACAGTCATAGCCATGATACCCTAGGAGGATAAAGCTGCTTGGAGCACCATGGCTACCCCTATGTTCTTTCCCATAATTATTTGTGACTGTAAGCTGGTGCTGCTGTAACGGGGTCGCTGAGATGTGATTGCCCCACTCCCTCCCCAAACAGGCAGCCCTCCACTGCCCCTGGACCAACCTCAGATCCAAGATGTCCACTTCAGAGCAGTCTCCCTTTGAATTAAAGTCGTTTTCTTCTTTAAGAGAATGTGCAATGAAAATGTTCAAAGAGGTGGCGCTCTTCTGTCCACAGGTAAGTGTCAGTAAATGCCCTTTTGCAGGCTTGGGCTCTGGCTTCTGGAAGGCTGGTCTCTGGAAGGGTTTGCCAACTCCTCCTGCCCAGCTGGACTGGGTACAGGGGCCCCTCCAGTGATGTTATCATGCAGTTTGCGTACATGTTTCTTCAGGTCGAAGTTCCTGCAGAATCCTTTGCCGCAGGTGGGGCAGGTGAAGGGTTTTTTATCGTTGTGGGTGTGCATGTGGAAGGTCAGGTTGTAGATCTGATGAAATGCCTTGTTACAGATATTGCACTTGAACTGCTTCTCCCCGCTGTGAGTGAGCTTGTGGTTCTTGTAATTACCTGCAATGAACACAGGCACTTAGCAGCTGCACAACTCAAGTGATCATTTTCCAATTCTGAGCCTGCTCATTTTCCCCTTCATCCTAATTCACTAAAATTGTTACTTCAAAAGCAGCATCACATACAAATGTCAGGAGCACAATGAGATGTGGGAAATGACAGCACACACACACACACACACACACACTAACGACATGAGGACAATGGAAAGGGGGTGCTAGTATCAGTGGACATCCTCCTGGTAACTGTACCTTTTTGGTGGAAGCCCTTGCCACAGAATTCACAGACGAAAGGCTTGTATCCTGCGTGGATCCTCGTGTGCGTGTTCAGCGTGGAGCTCCTGTTGAAAGCTTTGCCGCACTGGTTACACTTATGTGGCTTCTCCTGAGTGGGTTCAAATACAACAAGTCACGGCAATTCAAATCATATTACAAGGCACAGCTAATAAAACGGCCCATATAACTAGTTTACAGTTAACTTTCTTTTTTCTGTTCCTCACATTACATATTTATTTTCTTTTACATATCTATACCTTTTTTTATATCTCATTACTTTCTTTCTTTCTTTCTTTTATATCCCTACTATATGTTCTCTATACCTTTACCTTTATATCCCATTTATCTGTTCTCTATATTTTTTTCATTTATATCCCTACTATCTGTTCTCTATACCTTTACCTTTATATTTATATCCCATTTATCAGTTCTCTATGTTTGTTTCTTTTATATCCCTACTATATGTTCTCTATACCTCTACCTTTATATCCCATTTATCTGTTCTCTATATTTTTTATTTTATATCCCTACTATCTGTTCTCTATACCTTTACCTTTATATTTATATCCCATTTATCAGTTCTCTATATTTCTTCTTTTATATCCCTACTATATGCCCTCTATACCTTTACAGTTATATCCCATGTATCTGTTCTCTATATTTTTTCTGTTATATCCCTATATCTATACCTTTAACTTTATGTCCCATTTATCGGTTCTCTATACCTTTACCTTTATATTACCTATCCCACCTATGTGTCTTCTGTATCTTTTCATTTATGTCTCATCTGTTTTCTCTATTTTCTTTTATATTAAATTTTGTTAATCCATCTCACCTATTAGTCCCGTGTATGCCTCCTTTTAAAAAAGATCCCATCTGTCCCATATTTTTTAATTTCCTTTCGTTGCATTTTCCCACTTTTTAATGTATTGTTTCTCCCATATAACTGTCCTCTGACTCTTATTTCTCTGTCCGCCTACCCTGTGAGTGTTCCCCCCAGAAGCCGGTTACCTGTGTGTGGATGATCTTGTGGCGACACAGAGTGCTAGCCTGGCGAAACCCCTTTCCGCAGATTTTACAAACGAACGGCCTGGCCCCTGTGTGCACCGGCATGTGTCGGGTTAGGTTATAGTGCGCATTAAAGACCTTGAAGAGGAAACAAAAATAAATTTAGCCGGGGTAAGGATGCTGAGAGCAGGCGGGCAAGGGGGGCACTCAGCGCTCACTTGTACTTGCCTTTCCGCAAACTTCGCAGGTGAAAACTTTTGGCTTGCTGCTTGGGGAAGAGCTGGCGTATTTGGCAGCCGATTTATAAGCGATCTTGTCGGAGAGAGAGTGTGAGCTCTCCTTCATGTAGTGCTGAAACTGGGCTGGAGACAGATCCTTGAAGGTCACCCCCGATTGGTACTTCTCCACAGACGGGACCACCAGCTTGTTCCTCTCTGCCAGGTAGGACTTGGGAGACTGGTGCAGCTGGGAGCCCAGGAAATAGGAGGCAACAGGGTGGATGTTGATACTGGCAGCGGGGTGGCACGATGCATCGCCTCTGTTGAAGTAGCACAGAGCCGCTCCCATGGCATGGAAGGACGAGTGGTTGACTACTCGAGGCCGCACCAGTTTGTACTGTGGAAGGGGGAAGGCATCCCGGGGAAAATCCCCTTTTAAAGCCACAGCACAGTTTAGAAGCTCGTTGCAGCTGAAGGAGGATGAAGAGTCTTGGTGGCTTTTTCTCAGTTCAGCACCAGTGATGCCTAGCTTGGGACAATGGTCATAGGTGACCGGTACAAAGGGGATCATGCAAGGCATGGAGGACGAGCTCACATGGAGCGTTTGCTTCTGCTCCCCCTTGTGCATTGAGCTCTGCAGTAAACTTGGTACAGGGAGACATTTGGGCTCTGGAGTCCTTGACATTATCCTCTCAATAGAAAAAGCCAGCGGCTTGGAAGTGCTGATCATGTTGACTCTGCTGGATAGATGTTCTCTGGCTGCTTGGCTCGCTAGGATTTTAGATGCTCTGTGCTGTACACTATTGTCCATGTCTTGGCTGCTGAAGGAGATGTCTTCTTCTCAAGACGCCACCTTCCCTTCTTGTCAGTGATTCGCAGGGAGTGGGGCAGTCATTATCATCATCGTCCTCATCATGGTGCTGTACAATCCAACCACAAGCAGCCCAGTGGACAGGTGCCAATCCATTCCAGATTACATGGAGCAGCAATGACACCCGAGCAATCACTACTGATTGCTAGCAGGCCCGCTCAATGGGATGTGTTGTGTCAATAACGCAGTAAAGATCTCGCCAATCGTTAACTTCCAAGAGGAGAAGGTAAACTAGATAATTGCTCAATTCGTTTCCAGCAGTCAACAGAAAAAGTTTTCCCTTTTTTTTTTCTATTTGAGGGGGGAGCATAGGCTACTTTTATTGGAGATTAAGAGTCACCCGCCCAGAGAAGGGAGGGGGCGTCTGTTTCCTTTATGCTCAATCTGTTCAGCACACTCAAGAGCCAGCACTGATCCGAGATCAATTTTCCTCCTTGCTCTGGTATGACATCATCCAGAAAGCACAGAGATAAATAAGGAAAAAGTAGGGAGGGTGGCGCTCTATATTTATCAAACAAACCTCCTTAGAGTGTATTTCTCCTGGTGTCTGTCTGGATTCTCTGGCATCTGGCAAGTGGCCTTGCCTTTCTGTACACCTATATGCTAACATCACCTATCTGCCCCTTCTCACATAGAGCAATCAGTGACTTGTGCCATCTCACTGTCTTCCAGGTGACTTTTTCACAGTCAGAACGAAACCAATGCAGGCACCAGGAGTTTCACTGCAAGTGGAGATCACATCCCTGGGGGAGGGGGCAGTGCCCACTTCAGAACATTTAAATTGCAGCCTTCTCAAATAAATAATTCCCCTCTCAGAAATGTGTGCTCAGTCATAGTCATTAAAGGATTGCAAGTGCTGAATTCTCTGCCCTCATCATAGCTCTGATTCTCACAAAGAGGCTGCTGCCATGTATCCTAGCTCTGTGTCAGAAAAGTTTCATTGAAATCCCGCAGCTCCGAGTTCCCTCTGCTGCAGCCAAGGCAGCTCTTTCTTGAACAGCATGTGAGAGCCGGCCGGGGGATCCAGTTAACCTACAACACACATTGCAGGTTTTCTGTAGCCTTGAGTTCAATGTCTATCCTGTGCTGCAGACCTGCTTCCCCAAGTGCTGCTAAGGACCTTGGAAGCCAAAGAAACACCATAAATCTGTATATATCTTTATCTATAATTATTATTTTGCTA